AGGGTCTTTTGATCTTTTCCCATTTCATTAAAGGTTAGAGGGTTATATTAGGTTATTGTTTGGTGTTGAGGTTAGGTATTGAGAGGAAAGATTATATGAAATTTTGACCCGATCATTAGCCGATTTTGGTAGTATAATTACGATGAATTGGTTTAACACTTGATTACCGAACGGTTCGGAAAACGGGACCGAACCAAAATCTGGTAAAGCTAATTTTGTTTTGCTTGTAAAACAACATTGTCTCTCGTATCAAAATTTTGTGCATTAAATTTGACAATGTTGTCAAATGATTTTTTTTTTTTTTAAATTGAACAATACAATTACAAACGGTATCGGGGGAAAATGAGAAATTACATAGATTTGTGACTTTTGTTAACTTATATAAAATAAATAAATACTACATTTTTCCTAATTTCTTTTTATTACTTAGTTTAAATTGATGTAATATATATTGTTGCTTTTTCATAATCTTTGGTATGGTCATATCAATCCCGTAACAGTAAGAAGGCAGCTCACATGAACGATACACGCAGACGCAGCATGAGGTATATGCTAATCTCAAAAGTCAATATGCTCTAATATTTCCATGTTTGAATCATTCGTAATTTCAAGATTTATAAGGAGGTTGTATATAAATCTTAGTCACAAGGAATCCATGTAATATACTATTTTCGAACCTTGATCGAACAATTTCAAGCATCCATTAAGAACCGTTAAATGACAAAACCAATGAGACCAAATTGATTTACCCCATTAGCTATTGGAGTTGGTGAAAGCAAAATTTAAATGTTGATGTTTTTTGGTTAAATTAAGAAAATTCACAATAATATTATTGATCTTATAGATCTTCTAGATCCTTCTATAAATTCCATGTGGTGAAAAAGTTAGATGGTGGGGTTAGGTAAACATAAGTAACTGTAATTTTCATAAAACACTCTATATATAAACTGCGAAGATATCACCGCCAATGTCACATCCCTTGTTATGGGCTTAGTACTCTCTGTCTGAGATAGAAGCTTTGGTTTCTCTTTAGAAAAGAGCTTTGATCGTGTTTCACAATTATCGAGATTTTGTTGTGTTTATCTTTGAAGTGTGTGGATAAGAATTAGGTTGTTCTTCAGATATCTTTGAGTTTCTGAGTTAGATTGAAGTGAAAAATTCGTGTTTGATGAGTGAAGAAGCTAAAAGAGGAAGTTCGAGTCA